GGGGTTCGGGAAGGGCGGGAAGAGGTTCGAGGTCTTGGGTTCGGGAAGGTTTCCTGCCTCCTTCGGCCATCGGTGGCCGTTTGCGGACAACGGGGCCGGGGGGAAGCACTGCCGCAGATGGACCCCAGGAGGGGTCCGTGGACCGAGCTTGAACGGAGTTGGCCTCGGCCCCCCTTCTTGGTCGATTTTCTTGGGCCCCATCCAGTTCAGACACCCCGGTCGCCTCGGAACCTCTCCCCCCACCCCTCGATCTGCTGAGCCCATGCGCCGAGAGCAGGAGCACGCTTGGCTCGGAGAGGGGTCGTTCGCCGCACTGTGGGAGAGGTGTGTGTCCGGGCCCCAGCAGAAAGCGTCGACCTCGTAGCGTGCTCTTTGAGGCGTTCGTTGGATCGCCGTCGTCTCTGGAGCTCCCGTGCCGCCCGCCCACGCGCCCTCGCCCGACGCAGCGGGCCCTGGCAGTCGGCGTGGCGAGAGAGAGAGCCGCCGCCTCTGGCGCCGGCCGAGGTGGGGACATGCTCATGCAGATCTTCACGTCGAAGGCGTCTGTTTGTCACGCCGCGGTTGTGCGCTTCGCCTGGGGCGGTGGTGGAAGGCAGGGCCCTGCACCTCGAGGGGCATGGCCGGGATGAGGGGTGTAGGGGCTGGAGCGGAGGAGCGGCGGTGGTGTGGGGGCGAGGGCCTGGGGGGCGGGAGAGGGGCGGGCGGGTCAGGCTGGCGGGGGACCGGCGACGCCCCGGACCTCCGACGACGCGGGAGGGGTGGGCCAGACCTCCGGCGGAGTGGCTTTTTCACGGCCATGGCCCGGGAGTTCTCGGCCCCGTCCGTGGTGGCGGCCCCCGCGCCCCGACGAAGAGGCTGCTCACGGAGGCCGAAGTGTGAGCGAAGAGAAGCGCCCGTGGTGTCTCTTTCGGTAGCTGCGCGACGCCCCGAGGCGTGGGCTGGGTGGAAGGCCTCTGAAATCTACGCCGCTGGAGAAAGAAGCGCCGCTGGACTCTACGAGACCTCCCGAGTCCGCCCACGTCATCCTGACTCCTCCCATCTCCGTCCAGGAGTCTCCCGCAAAGTTGGCCGTCTCAGAACCAAGTGGACTGATTCAATAGACCATTCTGCGGTGCACGCTGAGATGCGCACGTGTCATGTGGCGCTGACCCGCACGACAGGGGGGAAGGGTGACAGGAGGAGGAGGAGGAGGAGGAGGAGGAGGAGGAGGAGAAGGAGGAGGAGGAGGAGGAGAAGGTGGAGGAGCAGAAAGGAGGAGGAGAAAGAAGAAGAGGAGGAGGAGGAGGAGGAGGAGGAGGAAAAAGAGGAAGAGGTGCAGGAGGAGGAGGTGCAACTGCAGGTGGAGGTTGAGGAGGAGGAGGAGGAGGAGGAGGAGGAGGAGGAGGGAGGACGGAAAAACGTCGCATTCTATTAACCGCACTTCCCTGGCGTGGCGTGTAGCTGTCCGCAGCAGATCCTTTCTTACATGCTCCTTCAACCTGTCCTGTGCACGCAGGCGCTGTGGTGTACACCAGCGCAGAGTTGCACGCGGATGCTGTGGTGTAGACAGGCGCTGTGGTGTGCACAGGCGCTGCAGTGCACGCAAGCACTCTGGTATACACAGGCGCTGTGTTGCACATACAGCCGCTGCGCTGTACACATTTGCTGTGGTGCACGTAAGCACTGTGGTGCACGTAAGCACTGTGGTGTACACAGGCGCTGCGTTGCACACGGCTGTTGCGGTGTACGCGGGCGTTGTGGTGTACACGCGCATTGCGGTGCACGCGAGCATTGTGGTTTACGCACGCGCTGTGGGGCAGATCGCCACCTACATGCTGCTCGCGTCGTCATCGTCGTCGTCGCTCGTCGCGCATCGCTCGTCGCGCATCGTCGTCGTGCGCGCGGGCGCGGCTGTGGTGCCGGAGCCACACGGCGGGGGGAGGCGTTACGTCATACCCCCCCCCACCGCTGTCCCCACTGACGCCCGTCATCGCCGAAAATATACAAACGCGCTCGAAGGTGCACATGACCGTACTTTCTCAGGCACGCCGAATGATACACGGACGTGCACGTTTGCACTTTTCACCATTCGACCTTCTAGTCTGCGGCCCGTATCTTCGCCTTTGCTGCTGTAGGAGGGGGCCGTGCTTGGGTAGTTTTTGTTGTGTCATGTGTCATCTGTCGTTCTGCACTCTTTACCATCCTTCCCTCCGCCCTTTCCCTGGATCTCGGAGACCCAGATCCGGTTTGGATGGATCGTCCTGCGTCATGGGGGGTTGCCCCTGCGGCGGCCTGCGTATTGGAAGAGCACGAGGAGCAGAAGCGTACAGTAGGCACGTTGCCGCTTCAGGCGCCCCGCCGAAGTTTCTTACCTCCCGATGTCCCCGTGGCCCAACAGAAGCCCTGGGCCACCTCCAGGAGAGCTCAACGCTCAGCGACTCGTGTGCCCCTGCGCTTCTTTTAACAAGGTGTCTGATCATATGTGGATCTTGAGCGTGGGCGATGGCCGCGGGAGGAATGGCACATCTCTCGAAGAAGGAAAAAGCGCCATAAACATAAACTGTTGGCGCTCCGCGCAGATTTTTTGGATATGCGCTGGGCCCCCCTGGCGGCGCCTCCGGCGCCGCCCCTGGCGCGCTCCGCAGATCCAGCGCAGAGGAGGGCGCCGCCCCTGGCACCAGGGAGGGGGGTCCAGCGCGGATCCAAGAAATCCGGCGGAGCGCCAAAAGTTTATGTTCATGGCGTTTTTTTCTTCTGCTGATCTCGTACCAGAGTCTCGGGCCAACCGGGTGGCCCGCAGGCGCGACAGGGTGACCTGCGGTGTTCGGGCCGAACGAAAGGGGGGGGATAGGGAAAGGGGGGGTTACGAACTCTGCTGCGTGCAGCCGGCCCCGCCGCCAGGCCCATCCCTCGATACATGGGTGCCTCCTGGCGCCGGGAGGCGCCAGGAAATTCAGCCACGTGAGCTGATTCCCTACCCTGCCCTTTGCTATCCCCCCCATTCGTTCCCCACCGAGGAGGGAGGAGGAGGAGGAGGAGGAGGATGAGGAGGAGGAGGAGGAGGAGGGAGGAGGAGGAGGAGGAGGAGGAGGAGGACCCCCCCCTTTGCCATCCCCCTCTTCCGCCCGGCCCGAGGTGTGCCCTCCGCGGCCCGGGCCCGAGCGCCGCACCCTTCCCTCCTCCTCCCGGGGGGCGGCGCGAGGGCGCGCTTGCGCCGGCTCCGCCGGGCCGCGCGGGCGAGGCGGGAGGCCAGGAAGCACAGAAGATTTGGTCGGGCGTGCCCCCCCATACAGGGTTTTTTTCGACGAAGGAAAGCACATACCCCCAATATTTAACATCGTCCCCATGTTGTTTTTTTTGTGACTATTTTGGAATACTCCTCCTGTAGAGGGACAGGCCCGACTTAAACCGAAGCTGCGGGTGCAGTGCACGCACTCTTTTTTTGCAAGCGCGGGGGGAAAGGGAGGGGGGGAGTGAGGGAGGGAAGCAAGGCGGGGGAGGAGCGCGCCCCAGCACGCCCCCCCGGCGAGCGCATGCATAGACATTCTTCATTTCTAGGTCTTCGGAAGTTCTTTGATTTTCTGGGGGGCCACGATCCTTCCATTTCTAATTCTTCTTCCCTGGGCCTCTTCCTGGCCACGAGGGGGCCAGGAAACATGGGAAACGAGCACAAGTAGACATGAGCACGATTAGAAATGAACGACGTGTACCCATCGGTCGTTGAGAGTAGGTATTTTTGGATTCCCAGATTCCAATTTACTTTGGGCGCCCTTCTTACTTCAAGAGTCGACCGGTTGTCCCTCTTCCCTCCTCTTCGGGGGGCGGGCGGAAGCCCGATCCATTCTCAATGCCTTTCTCCCTCATATGTCTACCCACTTCTTCCGACCGATGGGTGAGCATGACTTTCCGGAGGGCCGCTCGGATTGCTCGGATTGGCGCCGCCCCGCCACCCACAGGCGCACTGGGCGCGGTAGAAGCGCCGCCAGGGGGGGGGGGTCCAGCGCCGATCCAAGAAGCCCGCGCGGGCTCGCCAAAGCTCAAGTCCGTGCCGCGTCTGCCTGCTTGAAAGAAGCGGACCTTCCCCAGATCCTGGAGCGCCAGACCGGCCACGAGGCCCCCTTCCTGGAGTTCATCCAGGAGCCTGGCATCGCTCGGATGCGTGCTTCTTTTCTCGGCGAGGGCCTTCGAGGAGCGTATTTGGTCATCTTGCGAACGCGCGAAGCAGACAAATGCACGGGGAATAGACGTCCGAGCGATGGCGAGGGAGTGGGCCGCGCCCCGCATCCCCGCGGGCGCGACGCGCGTTGGAAGGGGAGAAGGAGGGCCGGCTGTTTTCGGAAGGCCTCTGAAGGTTTTGGAAGGTTTTCGAAGGTTTTCGAAGGTTCTGGGTGACTTCTAGAGCTTTTCGAAGACTTTCGGCACCCGGGCTGCTTCCCATCGGCTGCGCCTCGTCGCGGGCGGTCCGAGGATGCCCAGCATCGAGCCCGGCGGCCGCGTGAGGCCCGAGCCGTCGCCCGAGAGCCGCTGGGGAGGGGCCGCGGTCGGGGCGACAGCGGCGGCCCTGGCGCCGCGCGTCCTCGTCGGGGCCTCCCGGAGGCGTCTCGCCGCCACGGCCGGGTGCGCCCTGCAGGGCGGGTCAGCGTGGACCCCCGGGGGAGGCCGCGGGGGCCGCCCGCTGCCCCGGAGCGCGCGGCCGCGAGAGGCCGCCTGTGCTGCGGCAGCCGTCGCGGCCGGGAGGCACGCAGGCGCACGCCGCGGAACTGCGCCGCGCCGCGGGCGGCCAGGCAGCCTTCGAGATCAGCAGGAGGAGGGGGCGACGAGCGAGGTTGGTGGCGCGCAGAGGGGGGCAGGGGGCGGGGGGAAGGCTTCTCAGGAGCACCCACGTTTCTGCGAACCAGCCTCCTTCTAAGAAGCCCTGCCCACTCCCCCTTTCTCCCTGGTGCGTGCCGCCAGACCGCAGGCACGCGAACGGCGATTTAGGCAACGGTGATGCAGGCTTCGGTATTGTACGTGGGGGGTGGCTTGTGGCCAACTCAGTTGTAGGAAAGGCTCGCTTGTGTTCTCCTACATGTTGTTCTGCGCAAGTTCGGCGTCGGGAAAACAAGATCCCCAATATCGCCGTTAACCAACATCGCCGTTGGCGTGGCCTTGTCAGGCGATCGCAAAGATAAGGGGACGTGGGTTGTCGCGGATTTCCGCCGCCGGGCGAGGCGGCACCGGCCGCATTTTGGGGAGGGCACTTCCCCCGATCCATGGAGTAGGCGACCGCGCGCCAGATCCATGGATCGCTAATCCGTGTCTGCGCGCCCCCGACCTTGGCCAAAGCAGGGTGGGCCGACAAGCGAGGGGCGGGAGGGGCCGTGGGGGCCTTGCCCCTGCACGAGGGCGGGGGCGCCCGCGTGCGGGATGCCTCGATCGCCCCCTCGTTTCGCACGAGGCCGCGCCACCCCTGCTGCTGCTCGTCGCCGGGGGGAGGGGTAGGAGGTCTTAGGAGGTGGTGGAGGAGCAGGAGGTGGGGGTTGAGGTGGAGGAGGAGGAGGAGGAGGAGGAAGAGGAGACGAGACGAGACGAGACGAGACGAGACGAGACGAGACGAGACGAGTCCGAGGCGGGGCTCTATCCATAGCCACCGCCCGGGGGGTCGATCTTCGGGGACCGCGGCAGGCGTTGGGATACGGATACCCTCGGGCCCCCCCGGGGGCCCAAGCACCTCCGCAGCCACCGCCCGCTGGGGTGCCAGGACGTCGGCTCGGTGAATGGAATTCTGGATGGAAACCTCCTCCTCTTCCTCCTCCTCCTCATTCTCCTATTCCTTCTCCTCCTCCTCCTCCTCCTCTTCCTCCTCCTCAGGGTCCTCTTCCTTTTCCTCCTCCTCCTCCTCCTCCTCCTCCTCCTCTTCCTCCTCCTCCTCCTCCTCCTTCTTCCTGCGCCTCTCCTGCACGTCTCCTGCGCCTTTCCTGCACCTCTCCTGCCCTCCTCGACCCCCCCCCACCCCGAGTCAGACTGCTCCCCTCGGCGCCGCGTCGCGCCGCAGCCTGCCCGGCCACGGGCTGTCCGCCCCCAGCGTGCCGACCCTGATTCACCGAGCGCGTTCCACTACTCGCAAAGTGCCTACTCGCAAGCGTCCGAAAAAACACATGTCTGCTTTTATGTAATTTATCGTCGATCCCCCGAGGGGGATCCAGGCCATTTGCGAGCAGATCCTTTGCGAGTCGTGGAGCGCGCTCGTCGACTGATCGTGGCGTCCGGCTGAGCCTGCGACTCGAGGTGGGGATGCCGAGATGCCGGCGCTCTGCGGGAACGCGGCGGCTCCGGCCAGATCCGGGGCCCCGCAGGCCTCCAGGCTCAAGTCGGGCCTGTCCCTCTGCAGTTTTTTGTTTGTTCGTTTTTTGCTTAAAGAAAAATTGGGGATTTGTTGGTTGTTCGTCCCAAATCCACCTGTATGGGGACATGCCCGCCCGAAGTCCAGGCCCTCGTGCTCCTCGCCCTCGCCTCCGCGAGCAGTGCCGACGTCGAGCATCTGGGCCCACGCGCGCGTGCCAGCCAGTCTGGCCCTACACTGGAGGCCCCTGCCGAGAAACACCCTTCTTGCCTCCAGGGTGCCCTGTCTTTCTTGGGTTCCGATGGTTTTGCGATGGAAAGCGTGACGTTATCACACCAGAAACCGATGGACGTCCTGGGGTCTCAGGGTTGGGTTTCTTCCTGGAAGCCTTCTTGTGGACTGGCCTCGACTGCATCGGCATGTGATCCTCAGAGCCGGCACGCGCTCCACTGGCAGACAGCATCCGGCTGCCGAGGAGCAGAGGCGAGTGTGCACAGCTGGAAGACAGCACGCGCCAGAGGATCTATGTTGACCAGGCGTGGCCGCAAGGGTTGCTGTTGGCTGACAAGAACTGCCTCGCCAGGCCCTGCGGGAGCCCCGGGCCAACCGGGGGGGGGACCTCGGCCGCCTGGACGCTGCCAGGGGTCCTCGAGCGAGGCGCCGGCCACGCCGGCGCCTCCGAGAGGCGCAGAAGCTTCGGAGGAGGGCCGGCTTCGAAGGCGCGGCCAGAAGCCAGAGAGCCGCCGAAGAAGCAGACGCATTGTTCATGTCTAATGCTTCGGAAGTTCTTTTGATTCCCTGGGGGGGGCCAAGATCCTTCCATTTCTGATTGTCCTATCCTCGGCCTCTTCCTGGCCGCCTAGGGGCCAAGAACAATTAAAAACGAGCACACTTGGAGATGAGCACGATTAGAAATGAACGACGTGTACACTCTATACTAGGGGAGCGAACACTGACATGAACATAATAACTGGTAGGTCCGCGCGGATTTCTCGGATCGGCGCTGGGGCCCTTGGGCGGCGCCTCCGGCGCCGCCCCGCGCGCCAGGGAGGGGGTTGTCCAGCGCGGATCCAGGAAATCCGCGCGGACCTCCTTGTTTTTTTGTTTATGTCATTGTTCGTTCCCCTCAAGAAGCATACGTTCTGTACCCAACAGTCCTGGGGGGTGGCGAGGGTCCTGGTCGTGTGTCTGGACTTACAGGATTCCCTCACCAGGGCGTGGTGCATACGGGGCGTGGCCCCGGGCGGTGGAATCTGACTGGGGTGGGGAGGTTGTGTTACACGGGCAAATCTTAAGGAGGGGTGGCGGGAAGCTGTCTCGGTGGGTGTCGGGTCGGAGCCGCTGCCGTCACCGAGGCCCGAGGGATTTTTGTGACCAGGGTTCGCCGGAGGAGTCTTGGCAGGGAGGGCTAGACTGAGGGCTGAATGGGGTTTGCCAGATGGTTGGCCAGGGTAATTCTTCGATTGGTGTGTCTTCCCAGTGCGTTTAGAGTAGCATTTGAAAGGGAGTCGTTTCGCAGTTTTGCTTGGTATGACTTCCATGCACGACATACGTCGACCAGCGGGGCCACATATCCATGTCCGTCCAGCAGCTCCATATCCATGTCGCGATGTGTACTGCCGTGTTGCGGTTTCACTCCAGCAATTTCAGGATCAGCGATCGTCATGCGCTTTTCCTCCTGTTATGCGTGCTCGAGGGGTTCGGCGGGGCCTCGGTGTCAGAACACTGCTCGGCTCAAAATGGTGGCCATCACGATTGCACCGGGTAGTGGCTCAAGATGCCAGCTCGAGACGGATGGCGAGGAGGGTGACGGTGAGGTGGAACGGCTTGGCTCCACGTGTGCGATTGGCCATTCCGAGCAGACGCAGAGATCACCGCTCCCGTCTCTCTCACTACTGGACGACGCTCAGGTGTGCCACCGCCCAGGGGTGGGTCCCACCCGATGGGCTCATGGTGGCGCTGATTTTTGTTTCGTTGAACAGTTGCCCCATTCGTGTTCTGGCAATGCGTCCATCGTGCCTGTCTTTTCGGGGGGGGGGCCCAAACGGGGTGGTGACCACACCGTGTGGTGAGTCGGTGGGGATTCGGGGTCACCGCGCGGTTTTGGCACTCGGGTCGTTCTCCGAGGAGGTCTCGGGCGACTGGAGCTCCAGGGTTCCAAAGCCGTGCGTTGACGGACCGTGCAGTGAGGTCTTGGGGGATTTCGAGGTCACCGCACGGTCTGTCACCGCACCGTTTCGGGACTCCAAGTCTTTGTTTGTTGCGTGGCTGAGTCCGCCAAGGGGAGCCTGCCTAGGGGTGGCGAGAAGAGCGTGGAGAGCCCGAGGGCCAGTGTGCTCGAGGCGCGGGAGAGAAGCGGTGCGCCCCCAGTGCTGGCCCTAACAGACGCAAGATTTCGTTGGCCGCATCCGCGAGTCTACGACATGGATCATTTTGAGTTGAATTTCTGTTCGAAGTTGCACTGCCTTGGTTTTTTTGGGGCCTCTCGTGAAGAAATCTGGGGTCGCTCCACCTTCGAGGCCGACCATCTCCTGTGTGCCACTCGGCCGGTCCCTTCTTCCGAGTCGGGCGTCGCAGTACCCTCCCGAGGCATCGCGGGCCTCAAGCGGGCTGGGCTCGGCCTCCGAGCCATCTTTTCATGGAGCTGGCCCTGAGGATCTCTCAGGGCCTTAAGCTGCCTCGATACGCCTGTTTTGATACGCAACACCTGCCGTGTTCAACACGTTCGTGCCCATACGTTGCGTGTTGGCTCAGCGTATGGGTCCACGTTCTGGCGGACGTGTTTCGTCAGACCCACGTGTTCAGTCTACGTGTTGCATTCCGTATCAAAACGGTACGTGTTGCGTGTTCTTTTGACCAGAGTTTCGAGTGTGTACCAGGCCCGTTTTGGCGGCGCCTCGGTTGCAGCCCCATGGCGCGCTCCGCGCGCTGGGGGGGTGGGCGGCGCCGATCCAAGAAGTCCCCGCGGGCCTCTGAGAGTTTATTGCCGAGCAGCTCTGTGCATGTGTTGGGGTCTCGCCCGCTGGGCGCCAGGGGGCGCTTTGTGGGCGCATCGTGTTTGGCGTTGCGCCCAGCTGGTGCCCTCGGGTGCTCCGTTTGCGGCTCATGCGCTGTGTGGGGCAAACCTCAGGAGGTCTTTGGCATTGCATCCCCCTCCCCTCCCCTGTTGTTCTTGGCGGATAATGAACTCGCCCCTCTCCTCCTGCCCCTCCTCCTCCTCCTCCTCCTCCTCCTCCTCCTCCTCCTCCTCCATTCATTTTCTTTATACATAACTTTCCCCTGTCGCACCCCGAGGCCAGTCTTTAGGGCGGGCCGGGCGTTTCGCCCGAGATTTCCTCACCAGTTATGCCTCTGAAGCTTAAGCATTGGCAAGAGTTTCACAGATGGAGGGCGGGTCGTTTGAACATGTGGCTCTCGCCTTAGCGCCGCGCACATTCGTTCTAAACATTTGCAAGAGTTTCACGGATTGAGGGCGAATCGTTTTCGAAGTGTGGCTCTCTCTAGCGCCGCGCACATTCGTTTGAATCATTTGCAAGAATTTCACGGATTGAGGGCGGTTCCTTGTCCCAGAAATGGTGTTTTTGAAGGATTCAGGATGATGCCGGTGCAACAGTTACGTTAATTCGCGGTGCTGAAGTCCCGAGAATGGCGTTCTAGCACGATTCAGGATCGTCAAGACGCATCAGTCAGGTTGATCCGTGGTGTTGGAATCCCGAGAACGATGTTTTGGCATGCTTCAGGGTCTTCAAACGGTTGTCTTCCAACTCGGCATTTCCTTCAATGAGAATGAACCGTCGCAGGGGCCTGCGAAGAGGGAGCTTGGAGGGAGGGTGTATTCCAACATCGTTGGTGACTCTTGGGTTTACGCTGGTTCTCCTCCTTCTCCTCCTCCTCCTCCTCCTCCTCCTCCTTGGTTGGACCCCAGTCCGTCAATAGGGGCCTCGAGTAGAGAATCAGTTTACGCTCTGGGGGGGGATCATACAGGCTCACAGAGGTTATGTCAGGGTTTCGCCCCCTGGTCGCCCGTGGGCGCTCCGTGGGCGCTTCGTGGGCGCCTCGTGCGTGTTGGTGTGCCGAGGCCTTTCCCGGTGGGCGCCCGTGGGCGCCGCTTGTGGACGCCTCGTGCGCCCGGGGTCAGCGTGCGCAGGCTTTCGCCCGGTGGACTGGTGGGCGCTCGTGGGCGCCCGGTGGGCGCGCCGCCAAGTTTCACAGCGCAGACATCCTGCACCATGTCGATTGCACCACACGGCTAGCAGCACGCCTGCGCCCCAATAGCTTTCACCGCCGTATGGCGTGCGCCACGGAGACCACCACACGGTCGGCTTGCGCCCTGTGTGTTGCACTGCTTGTCTGTTTCGCCCCGCAGCTTGCACCACATAGCATGCACCACAGCATTCACCACGTAGATTGTACCATGTAGATTTGCAGCGCGTATATTGCGCCACATAGCTTGCACCATACAGAGGGCGCCACACACACACACACACATCGCACACATTGATTACGGCATGTAGAAGTCACGCATATACAACACCACATAGAGAGAGCAACATAGCTTTCACTTGGTTTTGGTTTCCAGCGTGCGGGAGATGAGTGATTGGGGTAATTTCGTAAGTCATCTTCGGAGTTTTTTTTGTTGGGCTTTCAGCTCTTTGGCCTGAGACCTTGGCAAGCAGAAAAGCGGCTGAACAGCGAGTCTGCTCGGAGTGCACGGACCCAGCCACGTGCAAGCCGAGGAAGATCAAGCCGGGCTGCGGTGGCTTCGGCATCCGGAACTTCCTGACCCTGTTTCTTTCCATCGAGGTCTCCCTCGGCAATCATCACCACTCACCAAACCACCCCAACCCGACCCGAAGGTGCCAATTTGCCTTCCTTTCCCATGGGGGGGGGGGTCGGGAAGATCGAAACCCATATATGAAGCCCGGGACCCCCCCCAACCCGAAATTCGGGTCTTCGGGTTGGAAGGGGGCGGTCTGGTAGGTAGCCAAATCAGGGTAGGAAAACTTACCGATGCGCCTCCCCTGTTCTCGTTCTGTGGGGTGGCTCTTACTGTGGGTCTTTGTCACCGCCGCTGGATCCGTTTCGGAAGCCTGGTCAGAGCGAGCTGGTTCAGCTGTGCGCGGTCGGAATACTGGTCGGTTGTTGAAGGTAGGTTTATGTCGGGCATGTCCCTTTACAGGGGGATTTTGATGGAGCATTCAAAAGGCACCCCAAACATATTCAAACATTGTCACACAAATCCCCCAACAATCGTCCCAGACTTTTTTTTACTACTTTGGAATTTTCCTCCTGTAGAGGGACGTGCCCGATCCCAGTCTATTTCAAGCGCTTTCCTACATCAGGAATCGATCTGCTCTTGCTGCGTTTTGGGATTCGCTGGGAGGGCCGGGACCCTACATACTTCATCCGCCTGCATGCATGCTGGTTGTTTTTCCCAACCATCCTATGGTGTTGGGTCTTCGTTTTGAAGAGACAGCGCCCCGCGTTCCTCTCCTCTCTTCTCCTCGTCCTCCTCCTCCTCCTCGTCCTCCTCCTCCTCCTTCTCCTCCTCCTGTTCCCCTCCCATCACCATCATCATCATCATCATCATCATCATCATCATCATCATCATCATCATCATCATCATCATCATCATCATCATCATCATCATCATCATCATCATCATCATCATCATCATCATCATCATCATCATCATCATCATCATCATCATCATCATCATCATCATCATCATCATCATCATCATCATCCCCTCCCTCTCCCTACACCATCGTCACCATCATCACCGTCACCCATCATCCATGAGCATCATCATCTGCAGCATCATCCTCATCCACATCCTCCTCATTATCGTCACCATCATCGCCCCCACCGCCCATGTCGTCACACCCCTCACACGCTTCGTGGCCCCACAGGGAGCCCCACCTAAGGCCAATGTGGCGGTGTTCGCCTGCGTCTCCCCCACCCAGGACAGCGTTTCGTGGTCCCATAGGGAGCTCCACCGAAGGCTCCACTGGAGGTGTTCGCATGAGTCTCCCCCACCCAGGACAGCGTTTCGTGGCCCCATATGGAGCTCCACCGAAGGCCCCACTGGGGGCGTTCGCGTGCGTCTCCCCCACCCAGGACAGCGCTTCGTGGCCCCATAGGGAGCTCCACCGACGGCCTCAGTGGCTGCATTCGCATGCGTCTCCCCCACCCAGGACAGCGCTTCGTGGCCCCATAGGGAGCTCCACCGAAGGCCACGGTGGGGGTGTTCGCATGCGTCTCCCCCACCAGGACAGCGTTTCGTGGTCCCATAGGGAGCTCCACCGAAGGCTTCAATCGGGGTGTTAGCAGTCGCCGCCCCCACCCATGACAGCGTTTCGTGGTCCCATAGGGAGCTCCACCGAAAGCCACGGTGGGGGTGTTCGCATGCGTCTCCCCCACCAGGACAGCGTTTCGTGCTCCCATAGGGAGCTCCACCGAAGGCTCCACTGAGGGTGTTTGCATGCGTCCCCCCCGCCCAGGACAGCGCTTCGTGGCCCCATCGGGAGTTCCACCGAAGGTCGCAAGGGGGGTGTTCGCATGCGTCTCCCCCGCCCAGGACAGCGTTTTGTGGCCCCATAGGGACCTCCACCGAAGGCCCCAGTAGGGGTGTTTGCATGCGTCTCCCCCACCCAGGACAGCGCTTCGTGGCCCCATATGGAGCTCCACCGAAGGCTTCAATCGGGGTGTTAGCAGGCGCCGCCCCCACCCAGGACAGCGTTTTGTGGCCCCATAGGGCACTCCACTGAAAGCCCCGGTTGGGATGTTCGCATGCGTCTCCCCCACCAGGACAGCGTTTCGTGGCCCCATAGGGAGTTCCACCGAAGGCCCCACTTGGGGTGTTAGCAGGCGTCTCCCCCACCCAAAACAGCGCTTCGTGGCCCCATGGGGAGCTCCACCGAAGGCCTCAATCGGGGTGTTCGCATGCGTCTCCCCCACGCAGGACAGTGTTTCGTGGCCCCATAGCCCCAGTGGGGGTGTTCGCATGCGTCTCCCCCACCCAGGACAACGTTTCGTGGCCCCATAGGGAGCTCCACCGAAGGTCGCAATGGGGGCGTTCGCATGCGTCTCCCCCACCCAGGACAGCGTTTTGTGGCCTCACAAGGAGCTCCACCGACGGCCTCAGTGGCTGCATTCGCATGCGTCTCCCCGCCCAGGACAGCATTTCGTGGCCCCATAGGGAGCCCCACCGAATGAGTTGCTCACAAAGACGGTACTCACAACTGCATATGGTTGGGTCCTTCGCCAGGCTAATTGTTACCTGGTTCTTCCGGCCGACGTGCAGCCCTCTTGAAGGACAGTGGATGTCACCCTCTCGCCTGTTGTGTTTCTCTGCCCCTTCCTGCGAAGAATAGGAAGCTGGGTAAGCAGAAACTTCCGCAGGTACCGGTACGCGCGGATTTCTTGGATCGGCTCTGGAGCCCCCTTCGCGCGCCATGTGGAGACGGTCCAGCGCCGACCCGAGAATCTCTTGCGGACCTCCTGAAGTTTGTGATCTGTCGCTTTGTCTTCTGCTGCTGACCAGTGTCGCGACGCCGCGAGACATTTAGCACCGTGAGAAACCCCGACCGTGGCCCGTCCTGCGGCATGTCTCGAGCAGGATCGATCCGTGAGGGAGGAGGGGGAGGAGGAGGAGGGGGAGGACGACAAGCTAGGTGCGCTCGCGTCATATCTGACGTCCTACCCCTCCCTCCCATCCCTTACCATGACGCTGATTTTCTCTATCCGCGGACGCGTGTCGTAGCGGACCTGTGGCTCCGCGCGCGCGTGCGTAGTGGGTGGTGGTGCACGTGCGTGCGTGCGTGCGTGTGTGCGTGGTTGTCGTGGTGGTGGTGGGTGGTGGTGGGTGGTGGTGGTGGTGGTGGTGGTGGTGGTGATGGTGGTGGTGGTGGTGCTGGTGGTGGTGGTGGTGGTGGTGGTGGTGTTGGTACTGGTGCTGGTGCTGGTGGTGGTGTGGTGGTGGTGGTGGTGGTGGTGGTGGTGGCGGTGCGGCGCGGTGGTGGCGGGCGGATGGGCGCGCGAGAAAAAGGCCCGCGCTGGGGCGAGAACGCCATCCTGAACGACGGAGGCCAAACACCGATCCGAAAATGAGGCCCACGCTGCAGCGGGAGCACGATTCGGAACGATTCGGGAGCAGAAATGAGGCCGGCGCCTCAACGAGAGCAGCATTTTGGGAAAAAATGACGCCGGCGCCTCAGCGAGAGTCGTTTCCCGGGATTTCCCGGGCATCCTGTGTGTAAAAAAACAGTGCGCGGAGGGTGCGCGGCCATCACCCGGACGCCATCAGGGGAAGAGGGAGAGTATTTTCATATTGAGTAATTGTGGAGGAGGAGGAGGAGGAGGAGGAGGAGGAGGAGGAGGAGGAGGAGGAGGAGGAGGAGGAGGAGGAGGAGGAAGAGGAGGAGGAAGGAGGAGGAGGAGGAGGAGGAGGAGGAGGAGGAGGAGGAGGAGGAGGAGGAGGAGGAGGAGGAGGAGGAGGAGGAGGAGGAGGATCGAATGGTGTTCACAAGAGGCGCGACGCCTGGATCATCGCAGGCCCCCTGGCTGCTGCGTGGGTCTCCAGGACCTCCGCCCTCCCCCCCTTCCTTCGCGGCATCCTCCAGGTCTCGAAGGCCGCCAAGGCGAGGGAGGACGCCCGCGCGGCCGGCGATGCCGCGGGCGAGGCGCGCTTCGGCCAGGAGAGCCTGCTTTTGTTTTTCGCACGCGCCGGAGCCCGCCAAGGTTTAATCGGGCGTGTCCCTCTGCAGGAGGAGCATCCGAAGATAGCAACAAAAGTCGTCAGGGGACGATTTTGTTTAGTATTTTTGAGCATGTTGTGGGTATTGTTTGACTATTTTTGATTTGTCGGCCAGAATCTGCCTGCAGGGAGACACGTCCGACCTAACGCCAAGGAGGTTCGAGGTAAACGAGGTTGCAGGACGTCGGGCGTTTTTGGCGCTTCCCCGAGGCTGTGCTGCCCAGGGGGGCGCGTTCCAGCAGTTGAACGCCTCGCCGCGGGGCGTTCCGGGGCGGGGGAACCGACCGCCCCGAAGGGCCGCCAGAGATCCGAGCTATGAGCTGAAGGCGAGACGGCGATCACCAAGGGCGTCCGCGGTCGGGTCGTTCTCTGCTGCGTCGCCGTCGCCCGCCGTCCGGTCGGTTTTGTTCGGTCGGTGGTCGTGTCGTTGCCGCGCCGCTGCGCCCTTCAGGGCCGCCTGCGCCTTGGGCGGCTTTCGGGCCCACGGGCTCAACCAGAGAGACCCAGAACCGAGGCCAGAGATTCAAGCATCGAGGCCTCGCGGCAGTGTCCTGGGCCTCTCGTGCCAAGGGAAAGCCGCTACGACCCTCACAACTGGCATCTGGCCAGCAATCCTGGGCGTTTACTGACAGTCCCGCCCTGCTCGGTTCCCTCATTTGGTGATTTTACTGGAGGGCTCCGCTTGCAGGAGTGCTCAATGCATCCCCGCGCCGGGAGTTCCTTCAAAGTTTGTGGGTGCGCCCGAAGGCACGCGTGGCTCGCAGACATGACCTCGCCGGGACGGTAGCCCTGAGGGGGTCGCGTTTTTAGGAGGCATTGAAGCCCCTTTTATTCCCCTATAGAAGCCTAGCAGGACACTCGTCTTGTGCGGTCTGGCCAAAACAGGTGGTTGCCATGAATTCTGGGCGGGGCTGCAAATCCCGCTGTTTTATTTCACATTGGCGGTGTCTTGGGGTCATGCTGAGGGCGTCACTTGCCCGTTTCCAAGCGAACTTCTGTTGCGGTGAAGCTTATTTGCGCATGCGCAACTGCGCGTCCTTGCTTTCGCGTTGCTGTCTCTTCGAGGTTGTGCAGCGACGCGACCGTTCGCGCTTGCGCAAAGCTGTATTCTTGCCTCCGCGTTGTTGTCGTCTGCCTACTGGACGTTGTTGTCGCCTTGCATGTGAACATCGACGCGCCCGTTCGCGCTTGCGCAAAGCCGTGTCCCTGCCGCCGCTTTGTTGTTGGCTTGGGCCTCTGAAGCGATATTGAACTGCCCTTGCTGTCGCCCTGTTGTTGTCTCAGGATGCAAGAAAAACGCGCATCGCCGCGCCGAAAGTTCCTTGTTTGTTTGCGAGTGCGCTGGAAAGCACACGTGGCCCGCAGACGCGACTTCGCCGCTACGGCTGCCCTGAGGGGGGCAGGGGTTTCGGGCGGCATTGAACCCCTCCTGCGCTCCTAGAAGCCTAGCAGGACACTCATCTTTTCTGCTGGTGATCTCGGGAGCTCTCTTGGGGCAGAGGGCTGGAAATGTCAGCTTAAGCTGCCCCTCTTTGTCTTTTTTTGCGCCCGGTTGGGGTTCCCTTGGGCCATCATGTGGCCCTTGTGGGCCGTCTTGGGGCGCTCTCGGGGGTCTCTTGGGCCGCCTTGGAGAAGTTTTGAACGCTTCTTGAGCCGTCTTGCGCGCTGACAATAGAGGTGGATATTCCGAACATATAAATATTTACATAGGGATTCAACAATTTTTGTTTCTTGGGGCCCTCTTGGGGGTCCTCTCGGAGCTCTGGGCGTCTCGGAGGCGTCTTGGGCACGCCTCGGAGTTTCCAGAGGCAGCGTGAACCCGCGTAGATGGCATCTTGGGCGTCTTGGAGGCCACGGAGTATGGAATTCGAGCCTGCGGAGGCCCCGAAGACCTCCCCCCCCGAATTTTGGGTCCCAGGGGACGGGGAAAGGGGGAGGGGGACAGCCAAATACTTCACACGCCTTGTCACCCCTCCTCCGGCGGGGGGGTCGGCGGAATTAGGGGTCCTGTTCCTGGGAGCGCGGGCGCAGCGTAATTCACAACGTGCAAGCATTGTTTTTCACAAAGGATCGTGCACGGGCGCCGCGCAATTTACAAAGGATTGTGGCCGTGGGAGCGCGGACGCAGCGCAATTCACGAGGGATCGGGATCCTGGGAGCGTGAGTCTTGTGTACTTGTTTGAAGTTTCCTGCAGGTTGCTGAAGGATCCTTCAAGATTCCTGAATGGTTCCTGAGGTTCCATCGGGTTTCTGAAGTATCCGTCGGGTTTCTTAGGGTTCCAGGAGATTCTTGGACTTTGGTGCAGAATTCAGAGGATTCCTGTGGGGTTCCGAAAATGGTCCTGAGGATTCCCGCAGGTTCGCTGCCGACTCTTCGGGGGCTTGTGTGGATTTCAAAGTGTTCGCCAAGATTTCCTCAAGGCCTCTTGTAGCCCCTTTCAGATTCTGGAGGATTTTCGAAGTTTCTGGAAGAGTCCACAGTGTTCCCTGAAGGATCCCTGAAGGATTTATGAGGATTCTTGCAGGTTGCTGAAGGATCTCTTGTAAATTGCGCTGAGTCCGCGCTCCCAGGGCACGATCCTCGCAAATTGCGCGGCGCCCGCGCTCCCAAGGCCACGATCCATTGGACGTAGCGGTGCTTGCGAATTCCCAGGGCCACCATCTCGACCCCCCCTTCCCTCGGGAGTTAGGTTATTTCCGTTGTTTCCCCTTTCAGAGGATCCAGAAATAATCCGTAAGGGCTTCGCCCCCATGCCGCCGGCCCCTCTCTCCGAATGGGACTTGCCAGAGCTGTGTTGGGATGTCTGGACGCTGACATGAATCAATGTCGGGACTTCACGCGAGGACGAATATTCATTTACGAAGGTTTATGGCTTCGGGGACGCGAATAGGAGGTAATTTTCGATGGTGTATTGCTTCGCGGGCGCGAACACTGTGTAATTTACAAAGGTTTGAGGCCTCGAGGACGCAAATATTGCGTCATCTACGAAGGTTTATGGTTTCGGGGGCGCAGCTATTGTACGATTTACAACGGTTTATGGCCTCGGGGACGCGAATCTGTCGTCATTTGCACGCGTTTGTAGCCTCGGGGACGCAAGTATGGTGTAATGAACGAAGGTGTATGGCCCTGGGGACGTGCATATTTTTTGAATTTTCTATGGCTTAGGGTTTCGGGGGCGCGAGCATTGCGTAATTTACGAGGGTGTATGGCTTCGGAGACGCGGACATGGTGTAACGTATGAGGATTTGTGGCCTCGGGGAAGCAATTACAGAGTAAATTACAAAAGGATTATGGTTTCGGAGACGCGAAGATTGTATAGTTGTCAAAGGTTAATGGTTTCGGGGGCGCAAGTATGGATTAACTTGCAAAGTTTATGGCTTTTGGGACGCGAATATTTTGTACTTTGTGAGGTTTGTTGCCTCGGGGACGCAACTATCGCGTAGTTTTCTTGGTTTTATGGCTCTGGGAACGCGAATATTTATTTAGTAATTTACAAGGGTTGACGGCTTCGGGGACGCGACTATTTCGTAATTATAAAGTATTTTGTCTTCGGGGACGCAAGTATTGCATAATTGATTGTAGTGGCCTCCGGCCAGTGCCGCCGATCCGGGGCGCTCCTGATGCTATTGTTGTTGAAATGGACGATGACGACGACAACGGACGACCAACGGTCGACGGTCGGAATAATTACGACGACGACCGACGAAGGAGTTAATGACGACGAACCGACGACGACGACGACGACGACGACGACGACGACGACGACGACGACGACGACTGACGGCGAACGGCTGCCGACGGCCGACGACCGACGACTGGTGACGGCGACGGGTCGAAGGTTCTTCGTTCATCGCTTTCGCTTCCGAGCAATACCAAGTCAGGCCGTGCACCTCTGGCCTGGCAGCACGCGAGTGAGCGCCTCTTGGGGCCTCTTGCTTGGTTCTTGGGGCTTCTTGGGGGCTTTTGGGGCCTCTTGGGGGCCTCTCGGGGTCGTCTTGGGGGCCTCTTGGGGTCCTCTTGGGGGGCCTCTGGAGGCCCCTTGGGGGCGCCTCGGGGGCATCTTGGGGGCTCTTGGGGTCATCTTGGGGTGGAGGACTAGAAGGGTCCGTTCGGGTTCACCCTCTTGAGGCCATCTTGGGGGCCTCTCGGGGTCGTCTTGGGGGGCCTCCAGGGCCATATTGGGGCCCTCTTGGACCGTCTTGGCTCCTCTTGGGGGCCTCTTGGTCTGTCTTGGGGCGATCTTGGGGGCCTCTTAAACCGTCTTCGGCGTTTCTAAGACGGAAAAGGCGATAATGTTAAAATGCTTCAAAACCTATTCGCAATTTTATTATTGTACCCTCTTGGGGCCCTCTTGGGGGTCCTCTTGGGATCTCCTTAAGGCGTCTTGGAGGCCTCTTGGGCCGTCTCCAGGCCATCTTGGGCGTCCAGGAGCGCTCTTGGGCCGTTTCGGGCGCCTCCTGGACCGTCTTGGTGGCCTCCTGGGCCCCTTTTGGCCCGTCTTGGGGCGGTTTGGGATTCCCGGGGGGGGGGAAAGAAAGCGTGGACCCGATGAACCCCCGCCCTCCCCCCCCCTACCCCCCTACCCCGGCAGAGCCCCCCCGGCCCCCCCCATGGTGTAGTTCACTAAGGATTATAGCTTTGGGGATGCGAGTTTCATGTATTTTGACATGCCCCACGCCCCCCCAGGAATTCAGACACCGCAATCTAGACGTGTTAAAACAAGTTGGCTTGTGGCTCCCACCCCTCGCGCGGACAGCAACAATTAACAGTAAGGAAGGAGAAAGCAGGACTGTGACAGTGGAAACTGGAAGCTGCAACTGGAACAGGGAGCTGCAACCCTCATCCTCAAAGCCTGGTGGCCCTGCAAGGGGGCCGGCGGATTAAGGCTTCTGATGTTGCGGATAACGCCGCGAGGTCGATAATTGCAGGTCAAGGCTAAT